ATTACAATAAGGAGCCCCCAAAACAGTATAGGTAGTTATTTAGGCCCCTGCATTGCAGCTTCTGCGGGTTGTGAAGCCACGGACTGTACTGCTTCCAAAGCTTCGGCCTAAAACCTGAAGCATGAACGGGTTAGGGCTTTTAGGGTTTAGGGTATATAGGGTTTAGGGTTTAGGGTTTAGGGTTTAGGGTTTAGGGTTTATATAGGGGTTAGGGTTTAGGGCTTTGGGGTAGAGGGTGTAGTGGTATAGGGTTTAGGGGGCCTTACGGCTAAATCGTAAACTTCACACCCCGGATCTAGTAAGGAACCCCCTGATAGTGTTAGAGAAGGGTTTTTTTGGTGGCATATTGGATACGAGGTCCGTAATAAGCACCCCCACCCCCCCCCCCTCCCTCCGCCCCCCAAAAAAAACACAGTTGTATTGGTAATCAGTTAGGCCCTATAGGCACCCTAAACACCTAAACCCTAAACCCTAAACTCTAAACCCTAAACCCTAAACCCTAAAAACCGCCGTGGCACCGGCCTGAACCTCGATGTAGGAGAGCATCTGCTCAGCTGGAGAACCTCCCGGTGCTTTCTGACATGTAGGGTTTAGGGTGTAGGGTTTAGGGTTAAGGGGCAAGGTAGGGCAGCTTAGAACTTAGGGCTCATGGAGTTCAGGGTTTAGGGTTTAGGGCTTAGGGCTTGGCTTACAGAGTTCGGGGTCTATAGGGCTTAGAAAGTTTAGGCTTTCGCGCTTAGAGTGTAGGGTTTAGGGTTTAGGGTTTAGGGCTGCGGATTTGGGTGTTAACAGGAGTTTAGGAGTTTGCGGCTTCCGACTTCAGGCCTTTAGGATTTGCGGGTTCCCTTTCCTTCCGTCTTGAGTCATAAAAGGATTCTCGCCATGAGCCCTAGACCCCAAACCGAAACCCAAAGACCTTCAGGCCCCCAAAACCTAGACACTAAACCCTAAACCCTAAAACGTAAACACTGAACCGAAGCCCTAAACCTTCAACCCAAAGCCTAAGCCAAACACCCTAAACCCCAAATCGAGGTATAATTCCTCATCCGAAGTAGGCTCGGCAGCAACCCATTACTTGGGCAGCTGGAGCCTTAGGAAAATCCAAATTCACTGTTTAGGGTTTAGGATTTCGGTAAAGGGTTTAGGATTTTAGGGCTTTAGGATTTCGGTAAAGGGTTTGGGATTTTAGGGGTTTAGGGTTTCGGTTTAGGGTTTAAGATTCAGGGCTTAGGGTTTCGGTCTAGGGTTTAGGATCTTAGGGTTTAGGGTTTCGGTTTAGGGGTTCAGGGTTTCGGTTCAGGGGTTTAGGAGTCAGGGTTTTGGGTTTCGGAGAGGGGTTTAGGATTTTAGGGTTTTAGGGTTTCCGTTTAGGGCTTAGGGTGTAGGGTTCAGGGATAGCTACCTTGGGGGACTGTCAGGGCAGGCTACATACATGGTCATACCCTACCCCTTTTTTTGGGTACCTACCTTTTTTTTATAACAGATCCTAACCATAAAACTAACCCTAAACCCTATAGCCCCAAACCCTAAACCCTAAACCCTAACCCTAAACCCTAAACCCGAAGTCCTTAAAGGAGGGAGTAGGCTACGAGACTTTAGGTACTGCTGAGTGAGATGGAACTCGCAGCTCGCTTCAGCTCCATCTTACGAAGCTTACTTTCCCCTAGACCTCCAGTTACCTACATAATGGGTTACTGGGGTTTAGGGTTTAGGGTTTAGGGTTCAGGGGTTTAGGGTGTAGGGTTTAGGGTGTAGGGTTTAGGGTATATAATATATGGCTAGTACCCTACGATTTAGGGAACTGGAGCCCTAGGGTTCTCTGAGTTCATAAACCCTACACCCCAAACCCTAAACCCCAAAGCTCCTAAACCCTGAAACTCCAAAACCCTAAACCCTAGAAGCCCGAAACTCAAAGCTGCCAAGCCCCTAAACTCCTAAACCCTCACATAAACTCTAAACTGCTAAACCCCTAAACTCCTAAACCCTGACATAAACTCTAAACTGCTAAACCCCTAAACTCCTAAACCCTGAAACTCCAAATTCCTGAACCGCCCTAAACCCTAAACCCTAAACCGCTCTCCCGGCCTTGCGTCTGGCTGGCGTTCTGCTCCGCTCCTGGCCGGCCGCAGGGGATAAACTCGTGGAGACAGCAGCCTTTAAGCTCAATACCCTGGCCCAAAAAAGTTCAAACATTTCTTCTAGTAGGGGTTTAATATACCAAAAAAAGTAGGTAGGGGAAAAACTCGCGGAGACGGCAGCTTTTAAGCCCAACACCCTAGGGGTTTAATATACCAAAAAAGTTTTAAGTTTACCTATTGGGCTAATAAGGCAGCTTCAGGGTCCGGAAAGCTTCTGTTCAGGGTTGAGGGTTTAGGGTTTAGGGGTTCAGGGTTTAGGGCTTCTTTGGGTTGAGGGTTGAGGGTTTAGGGGTTCAGGGTTTAGGGCTTTTTGGGTTGAGGGTTGAGGGTTTAGGGGCTCAGGGTTTAGGGCTTTTTGGGTTGAGGGTTGAGGGTTGAGGGTTTAGGGGTTCAGGGTTTAGGGCTTTTTGGGTTGAGGGTTTAGGGGTTTAGGGTTTAGGGGCTCAGGGTTTGGGTTTTTTTTGGGTTGAGGGTTTTGGGGTTTAGGGTTTGTAGGTTTAGGGTTTCGGGTTTCTGGTTTAGGGCTTTGGGGTTCTATGAATGCTTCTAGACATGTAGAGTGTTATGGCGAAGTTGATTTCAACAAGAGTTCAGACAAAGGGGGAGTTTGTGTGGGGACAAGGGCTGGTATGTGGCTACAGTTGAATGATAGAATGAATCCTGCAGCACCGATATTCAGGAATATATACCCAGAATAGGGAGGATATACCCACAAAAAGGAAATTGCCATGACTCCCATAGTTTAGGGTCCGTAAGTTACTGCAGGATTTATATCATCAGCAGTATGTCCTGTGTGAGGTTAAGGGTCTCGAGTAGTGTCAAGCCCTGGCCATTGACCCCCCCCCCCCCTGCCGTTTTTGCACCAAGTTTAGGGTCGAGGGTTTAGAGCTTAGGGCTGGAGGGTTTAGGGGTTTAGGGTTTAGGGGTTGAGGGTTTAGGGGTTTAGGGGTTTAGGGGTTTAGGGTTTAGGGTCCGACACCTAGATCAGCCTGAGAAGAAAGTGTTTATTGCATACTCAAAGCTCTACGTGAAAAGCCTTTTAGACCCTAAACCTTGAACCCTACCCAGACCCCCAAAAGGATCTACAAAATAGATCCCCCTAATTAGGGACCCTAACTACTAAAGGGTACTTTATAGGAACCCCCTTAGGGGATCTATTTTTTGGATCCTTTTGGGGGTCTGGGCTTGAACCCTAAGACCTGAGCCCGACCTCGGTCTACATGAACAAACTGCCACTTTCAACATAGGGGTCACCCGGTTTCCTACTAGTTATTCAGCCTTGCTAGGGAGATTTCAAAGAGCACCAACCTCTAAATCCCGAACCCCTGAACATCAACCCTTAAGCCTCCAAAACCCTAAACCCAAAACCTTCGATCCAAACCCCAAACCTAAACTCGTAAAGCTCTGAGTAGAAGCATGCAAAAGCTAAGCCCCTTCCACCTAAACCCTAAACTTAAACCCCAAGCCCAAAGCCCTCATCGAACTCAACGGCCAGAGGAAATTTCGAGGAAGAATATGACTCGCAATACTTCGACCAGGTTTTGGCTTTAGGGTTATAAGCCCTATAAACCCTATAAACCCTATAAACCCTATAAGCCCTGTAAGCCCTATAAACCCTATAAACCCTATACGCCCTATA